ACAACTCTGTTTTATTTTGACACTATTCTGTGTGTTACTTTGTTCTCAGTATAGTGCAGAGTCTGCAACATTCATGAAATGCCACATGAGTGCAACTTGATGAATGCTGATCTTATGAATTGAGAATTAGAAACATTGAACTTTCCAAGGAAAATAAAGAATAATCTCCTCGATTGGCCTGATGATCTGGCTGATAGTATTGCAGAATACCCAATTAAATTAATGTTTTGCTAAGTGTACTCTCAGAAGTCAGAAACTCAGGAGATGAGTGAAGATAAAATGAAATATTTTTTCTAAACATAGGAAATTCCCCACAAATATGCTTGTGATTCTAGGCTCCAAATCCTAATTATTTATACGTACAGGTAATTAAATAGATTGTGGGGTTATTTTCCAGGGGAACATAGAACCTTCTACTTTCTGGTTTTATCCAATTTAGCCTATATTCCTTTTGAAATAAAGTTACCATCTGGTGATCAGTTGTTCATCTGCACGGAATGAACTTGCTGGTTGCAATCCAATTTCCAGTAATGTGCGCTGATATCCCAATAACCATTACTGCAGCTGGCACAGCCAGTTTGGAGTCTTGCCTGAAATACCAAAGTTGTCTACGCAGTTTTCTTAGCACTGGACTCCAGCATCAAGTATGTGATATAGATAGCTGAAATGCTGTAAGCAATTATTGTATTACGTTGTCAAGGTTTGAATATCTAGCAGTACTAGTAATGTTGTGGTCCTCTTCAATCATCTACTATCTTTTAAGACAAAACCATGTATGGTATTACAATTGTGTATATACATACCGTACCATGGCTGGACACAAGCTGAGGTGTATAACTGCTTCTGGGATAAATCCTGGCCATCTCCATGTTCCTGTAGTGAAAAAGCTGCCTAAAGTATTGAAAATTGGAGGCTGAAAGGCTTTGGGATATACATTTTCAGTAATTATTTGCAGTTATGTTTCACTGTTCATTCAAGATCAAGTGCTTTACAAATGAACCGTCAAGTGTTATTTTAGAAATAAGGAATGAAAGCACAGAAAGGTGAAACAAATGGCCTTACACTGAAAATGAATCAAAAACAAAGGTGTGAAAATTCACAGAATGTCAGTCTTTCTAAAGCAGCTTTGCTTACATTGGGATGATTTACAATTGAAATAATTATGTCCAAGCAAAGGATGAGTAATAAGATAATTATGTTAACCTCGTTCATGATTAAAGCAAGAATTAGGAAAAATTCAGTGGAAAAACATATTTCTGTAGTAATACCAATGTACCGTGAAAGAAAATGAAGGGGAGAGAGGAGGCTTATGTCTCTATTCCAAAAAAATAAATAAATAAAAAATAAAAAAAAAATTTGGAGCTAGGATTGGAAAGATTTTATTTTTAAGTATACAAATTAAGATTTTTGTGTGTATTAAATCTTTTCACCTGTTTTTTAGGTGTTCAGACCTTCATGGATACCTCTTTATCTCCATATACCTTCTATTCCTACTATCTCCAAGCCAGCAATGTTCACGGTTTTACAAGAAGTGCCTCAGTGACATTCCGAACAAAATCAGGGATACCTACAGGAAGCTTGCATTTAAATCCAGTCTTTCCCGTTAGTCACCGTTCTGTTTTGCTTTACTGGACAACTCCTTCAAATGACTCTGGGCCCATTGAGAAATATGTTTTGACATGTACTGGCTTGGTTGATCTTCAGCCTTGTGGACAGTATGAGGGTTTAAAAACCTCAGCAATTATTTGGAACCTCATTCCATTTACAAAATACATTTTTTCCGTGGAAGCGTGTACCAGTGGAGGCTGCTAAAAGACCCAGCCAATAACAGTAATTACTGCACAAGCTCCTCCTGAAGGGTTACACCCACCTGTGATAGATATCATCAGCTCTACAGAACTGGCTGTGAAATGGTCACCACCTGAGAAACCAAATGGTAGGACATGTGATATTTACTTGCATAAATCAAAGACTGTGCAAAGAAAAAGCAGTATTTTCTCAAATCTGGTTAGAATATGAATCCATGAGACACAAACAGTGAATAAAGTCAGAGAGCATCTACATATGCCTTACACCAGCAAACACAGTCAGAGTCCATGTTTTGTTCTTCTGAATCCAGAACTCCAGCTAAGCGTGCTGGGGCCGCAATTTAGCCATTAGTCACATCTGCTACAACAAAAAAAAACCCACATCTATAATTAAACATTTACAATAAAATTAATTTCTTCCTAATTTGCCAGATCGCCTAGTTCAGACAGATGTGGTGATATGGCTGTAGAAAGAATAAATAAGTAGGTAACAATTATGAACAAAAATCTAGAAATTAACAGAGAAGTCTGTTTTTAAAACCATCCGTCATGTGTAGTAACTAATTCTATTACAGCATAACTTTGTTAGGGATGAGGCCATTGCCAAGAGTTGCTGGTCTAACTTGCCTAATAATATTTTAGGTTTTTGAGACTGAGAACACAGCTGTTGTAAGATGCTTCTGTGATGCCAGATTTTACTGGTAAACACTTTCTCTTTTAAGATACATGCAGTGGAGCTTTGTGAACTTGCAATTACGTGCACAAATGTGCATGCTTAAATGAGCATTTCTATCTGCTCAACAAATTAACATGTGTGGATGGGAAGCTCATCTTCTGTGAAAGTCTTATTTGCTTAATATTGCTAGATTAAACTTAAAAATGACCACACAAGATTGTGTCTATACGTTTAGAAGGATGGTATCTATAATGTAGGTCACCATACTTCCTCTTAGTATCCCTGAACCTGTACCACATACTGTCATAGTTTGGATGGTACCCACCTTAGCCGGTAGATTCTGTTTTTAATTTCTCCACAGCTGAAAGTGGAAGGAGGACTGATTATCCTCCTCCCAAATTAGTGCTCTGTTTGTTATTGTGAACAGGTGGGTTGTTTTTCCAGTAGCAGCTGTTGGAAATGGATCCTTTCACAAGCACAGAGGGGTCAGGGAGCAAAAGGCCAGGGTGACATGGGTGGCAATGGTTCAGTATAATACATGCAAGTTGCAAGGTTCAGTATAATACATGCAAGGGAAAGCTGGAAAGGTAACGTAGAGGCTTCTTGTTGTGCTTGCAGTTAGAGAGTATGTCTTAGATGTGTAGAGGTTGTTGACTCTAGTTTGCTCTATGTTGGAAACTATGTGTTTTTGTTGTTGTTTTAGAGCCTGTGCTAACCAGCTCAAAATCAATATGGATTTTTTCCCCCTGGATTTCCACCATAGGCTTACATTTTATTGTGCCAAAGAGCTAGTATTGCTTTCTGAAAGCCAGAAATACCAGTATTGCTGGTATTGCTTTCTGAAATTTAAAAAGATGTACTGTATTGTGTTACATATATGCTTTAACTCACTGGTATAAAATATTATCCACTCCTCCAATGTTGAACTGGGAATAACAAAGTATCAACATAGCTTAATTATCTCTAGGTTAAAATAGTCATAACTTAGAGCACAGGCTGTTTTGAGTGGTGCTCTTGTATTTCTTTTGACTTAAGTGGTTATTCTTATATGCATGACACAAAATAAAAATGCCCCTTGGAAAATCAGAGGCCTGAAGTCATTTCCAGGAACATTTGGTCAGAACTTTAGGGTGTCTCCTTTAAGTAAGGGTAGCAAAACCCATGGAGTAAATCAACAAAATGTTAGCAAACCCTAAAATTGTAGGAATAGGGAATAGAAATGCAACTCACCCCCGAAATCTGCCCAAGGTGATTATTTGGATGAGAATGGCAGAAAGAGAAAAATATTTTATATGCTATATTTTATGTTTGTTCACTGTTCGATTATTAGAATTTTAAATGTATTGGCACTGATATTTTAGTAGAACTTTAGAAATAGTTTTAATACACTAATTTGTCTGGCTTGCATTTTTGTCTAGGTGTAATTATAAGATACGAACTTTACATGAGAGAAAAACTAAAATTAGATGAAAACGTTCTTCCCCCTGAAACTCGTGTTTTCCAAAGCAGCGGTTGGTTCAGTCCTCAACCAGTTTTGGAGTCTGCTAATGAAAATGCCTTGGCTCCACCCCAGACCAGTACCATAGTGGCTGATCTTGAGCCATTCACAGAGTATGAATTTTTCGTGCTAGCAGTGAACATGGCGGGTAGCATATCCTCAGGCTGGGTATCAGGACGAACAGCAGAGGCAAGTAAGTACTGGTTTGAATTTGTTCAATAAAAACTATACAAACTGGAATGCATTTTAAGGGTTTGTTCAGTAAGATTTACTCAGCAGTGATTCAAATAGAAATGTAATTTTCTCATTCTTAACTAAAGTCAGAGTCTGTCAGAACTTAGTAAAGTTCTTCACCAGTAAAATCATGTTGTTGAAAAAATAAACTCTGCTACTTGAACTAAAATTTCAAAACTAAAAGATTGCAAAATCTACCACACAGCTTTTGAATTTCCCCACCATTTCCCCATTTTTAATATATAATCTTTAAACAGAGAAAGCATGAGAAAAGGTTGTTTTCATCATTAATCTGCAATCAGTTGGTATGATTTAGGAATTTTGACCAGAAATATATGTATGTACTGGAAGGAGATTCAACTCAAATCAATTCAAATTTTTCTTATTTGGGATATTATCACTTAGATTTTTTTTTTTAATAACTTGAGCATCACCTTTTCAGGTGCATTGCACTTGAAACTCTTTGTATGCTCACTTAGAGGCCAAGTATTGTAATAGGAATTTTAGAAGTTTAAGCAGTTTGCAACAGTTCTTATGGCCAGATTTCAATAAGTGCTTGCTATTTGAGATTTTATTTGGAAAAAATATATATTTATTTAAATCCTTATATTAAAATTCTATTTTTAAGTCTGATAAAACCTGTGTTTTGCAATTAAATATCTCTGTTAAATGACTGATACTTTTGTTTGCAGATGGGCTTGAAAATTGTATCCTCAGTCGTTTGTGCTTGAAAAATAGAAGTCAAAACTAATTCCCCTTTCAGAATGAGTGTCTGTGCTGCATATCTGTTCTTAAATACTATATGTTGTAAAAGTGTTAAATTGTATTTGGGAAGAGGTCCATTAGTGTGGTTGTTTGTACACAACAGAAGTGCTAGGAGTTGGTGTGCTATTATTCCAGAGGAATCAGGTGGGGATTTAACGGCAGTGCAAACAATCCTTTTACAGATTTAGCTATGGAAGACAAGGGAACTGTTTTGTAAGAAGTGAGAGACATGTTAATTTCAAACTGGCCCAGCCAACGAAATTGCTTTTAAGATGCTGAAGTATTGAACACTTTGGCTTTTATCGGCTTTTTCCCAGGTTGCCTTAAGTTTTTCCTCAAGACTTTTCCATTTACATGTGCTTCTTCCTTGCTGCAGGGTTTGGAACTTTAGTGGGGATTAGCTGTACTTTGTGAAGACATAGGCAGGGCTTTAACCAGCATTCGTGGCCAGGCTGGGAAAAAGGAGTATGGTGGGTGAGGGAGATGCTTTTTATGTAGCATCAAGATACAAGGAAATTCCAGTTACACCTGAAAAGATTGTTAAAAAGGAATAGGACCTGTAAAGTCTGTAGAAGAGATGCTGTTTTAAGAATACAGTAAGAAATCTTGCCTGACAGATCATCCATGTATTTTACATATGTTGTTGTATTAATTTGATTTCAGCCCCAGTATTCATGCCATCTCCATCAGTATTCCCTCTTTCACCATATTCCCTCAATGTGTCTTGGGAAAAGCCTGAAGATAACATGGCGAGGGGAGAGGTGATGGGATACAGCATTAGTCTGATGACTGAACAGACATTCTTACCACCATTTTCTCAGGTATTATTGTTTCAATGTGATTTGCCTAACTCACAGTAGGAATTCTGGTCAAGTCTTGTGTCCTTCTTGGCTCTGTTATGTCCTGATGAAATTGTTTGCTTAACTGATGTACATTGTCCGACCTTTTTCACCTGTCAGTTCATCATTTTCTTGATTGAGTTCTAAGGTTGTATGTTGCTTTTAGGTTTTAAGCAGTATTCCTGAAATTGCTTGTTTTCACTGGTGGGTAAGATTTAAAAATAGGAGGAAGGGCCAGATTAATCATCATAATTTAAATTGCTTTGAACTGTGGTCTGATTCTGTGTTACTACGATGTTTGTTGATATGTGTAAAGTTATGTTGTTTTGTAGGAATCTCTGTCTTCACTGAAAAACAGAACAAAACAAAAAAGAAAAAAAAAACTCTGCCTAGGCTCTGGAATAATAGACAAACAAATGGCCAAACAAGTACCATAACAGTAACAGTGACCTGAAAGCCTAGGAACGAGCAAAGAATCTTCATCTGAGTGTGGGAAGTGGGAGTGGATCAGGTGCTTTGACGTTGTATTTCTCCATTCAGTTTGTCAATGAAATGGGGTTAATATTTTTGCCTACCTCCTAGGGCTGTTGCAATAATACGTTATTGTTTGTAAATTGCCTCTGGCCACAGGCTTGTGAGTTTTTATTTCACTAAGTAAGCATCCACTAAAGAAGTATTCTAAAACATAGCATCTTATTCAGTTTTCCTGTCTCCAACTGGTAGCTTAAAATAATGTGAAAGTAAGGCAGATTTGCATGCCTCTAGGTGTTAGCTGTCCCTGTGCATCGTAATGGCAGCTGGCTCAGTGATGGCCAGATTTCATCACGTAGGGGTGTCGTCTGGGTTCTAGCTTCTTCTCTTCTGCGCTTCTGTTTGTAGTGATAACTGAACCACCACACAGTTTTACACGGCAATAACTTTGTTTCCTAATTTATCCGCTCAGGAACTGCATTATTACCTCATAAAACAGTGCGATGGGAAGTATTATCATTTAAATCCTATCTTATTGAGATTCTCCAAGGTAATCCTCACCCTCAGTAGGTCTTGGGAAGGTTTTCCAAGTCTAAGTGAAGGAATCTGCAAACTCAGAAACAAAATGTTTCTGAACATAACATCTTCATTCCTATGAACTGATGACATTACCCATCTAATCTGTTTGCCTTGCAGGTTCTGCATATAGCTGAGGCTCATGAGCTGTCCTACGTAGTGACAGGATTAAAACCATACAAGTTGTACAACTTCACTATTACTCTCTGCAATCAAATGGGTTGTGTAACCAGTGAGCCAGGCACAGGGCAAACCTTGGCAGCTGGTAAGGAAACAACCTGTATCAAAGTGCAAAGCTGACACACAGTTTACTAGTGAACACCATCGCAGATCATCTAAGTTTGATGTACGGTGACAGGGATAGGTGTTATTTTAATACAATGTGACTCGCTTAATTATTATTTGCTTACCTTGACAGAATAAAAACATTTTTTTTGCAATGCAGGTTTAAGGTACATTGCTATTGCAGTAGGATTGCTTACTGTGCTCCCAATTGCAAGTTATGTTTTCTTTTTTTTTCCTCCTGTTTAAACTGTAATTGTATGTAAATGTGGGTGAGATCTTTCATTCATGTATACTGCTTACTTTTTGTTGTTCTTGATTTATTTATTTTTAGTGTATATGTAACATATGCACAACTGATTGTGCAAAGTGCAACTATGCAACTTGTGTAACATGAATGATGAGTTGCACGTTTTTTCTATTTAAACTTTAACATGTGAACATAGTGTGCACATTTGTGCCTCTAAGCCAGAGGTAACATCTATACTTTGGCTCTGCTCTTTGAAATGTTGGTTCACTTTGGCTCTTTGAAATGTTGGTTCACTTTCTCTGGCATTTATGAGATTTTGTAGATATGTATACCCCTAATTTCTTAAGGAAGCAATGCTTAACAAACTGTGTTTATGTGTCTATGCACCTTAATAATTTTTCAGGATTTCGGATCTTTTCAACTGCATTTTCCAGGAATTTCAAAGACACTTTCTACAAATTTGGGGAAAAAGCAGCATCAGTATAGAACAGAAGTGGCAGAAGTCTGTATTTGTTTTGGTGGGAAGACTGTCATGAATTTACTTATTTGATATCGAAGGATCGAAAGGGTTTTAAGAGAGAACTTGTTAGGAAAACTGGCTTCACAAATACTTTTATTCCTGAAACACAGTAGTCAGAATAACTGTTTAATACTATAAATATAAGCTCAAAATCTGTGTTATGTGACATATCGATGGGTAACTGCAGAGATATGGCCACATAATATTGCAGATTTCTTTCATATGGGCATTTAAAACAGAGTACTACTTTCACAGTATTAGCATTTACAGCTATTACAGCAATTGGTAGTATTGTTGCAGGATGTTGTGATGATGGTCTTTGAAATCACCTCTTAAATAATATTGTCTCATAAAGGAAAAAAAAAAAAGTGGAAATTTCTGGTAATCTAACATGTTTTTCTTGGCTCTCTGAACCATATTGGTGTTGTCCGAGCTCTGTCAAAGCCCCTTTGCTTAATCAGTGAAGGAATATAGGAGCTTCCAGACAGGGAATAAGGAATGGCCCAGAGTCAGTGAACGAGGAGCTTTATGTATGTGAACTGAAGTGGAATTTAGGCAGTTGGGGTATTACCCTAGGGTAGTTTGGAAGTCTGCTTATTTAATTGCCATTCCATTTGATTTCAAGTGAGGAATACAAGATTTTTTTTTTTTCTTGCCGTGGTTTTAGTGTACAAAGATGAGTCTTTTAGACTTCTCTCTGAATTGCTGATTTCCAATTTCCGTTTGTTTCTTTGAGCTACAACCTCATAAAGGTTCAAGCTGGCTGTCTAAAGAGCTTCCTGCTTGTATGAACATGACTTCATTCCATACCAAGCAGCCGTGCAAGGAACAGAATTCCAGTCTGTGCTGACACCCATGGAAACCTCGTATGGCCTAAGATACCTTACTAGAACAGATGATCCCAGTTTGCATTTATATATTTATTAAAAGGTAGATTACCTTTCCAGGATTGCTGAGGAATTCTGCTTCATGAAGGAATATCTCTTTCTGGGGTGAACCTAGTTGCCCTGGCTGTATACCACTTCCATGCTCTGGCAAAGGGAACATTTTGGAGGAAGTCTTGACTGAAATGTGCACCAGTCTTCTGTAGTCTGAGTCAGAATTGAATAGCAAGATTAAAGAGAGAGTAAGTGTCAGCAACAGTTTGCTGCTCTTTCAGTGAAGAGGATGACTTATAATAACAAGTCATACATAACAAGTCCATCTATTCCAGCTAGGTTCAGCGTAGGCGTCAGTACCTAGGATATTTCATAAGCAACTTTGCAAAAGGAGAATGAAAGAAAACGAGAACCAGCCATACATCCTTGGACTTGTCAGCCTGGCAAATAAACTTCTCTCTGGTACGCACCTCCGCAGTGTTGGTAAATGGCAATAAAAGAAGACATTTTGGCCAGGATAATGTGAGGAGGAGGAAACAAATGAAACAAAGAAGTCATAAGAAAAAAAGTTATTTTATATTAAGGCTGAGTGGAAGCTATCACAAATGAATATGAAATCAGGAAAAAGTATAGGAAAGGGATATGATAAATAACAAGTTGCATAGGTATGCATGATTCATTGCCAGCTCCAGCTGGGGAAAAGTGTTGGAGGATCAGCATGACGTGGTAGTCCAATATTAGAATTAAAAAAACAAAACAAGTATGACGATGGAAGAGGAGAATTAACCCTTCCATGTTACTCTGGGGGAAGGTTTCTGGGTGAAATTTGACCCTAAATCTGGTATATTCAGAAATATGTAGGTTTTAAAGGCTGAAATCATTAAAGTGTTTCTTCCCTACTTTCTCAATGAGTCTTTTAAATGTTAAAGGAAGGATGTTTTTGTCCCATGTGTGTTCCATGTTAATTGATCTATTTTTAAAATTCTATGCACTTCCTATTGAAAGCTTTGGCTGATAGATGAAGGAGGCAGCTTATTTTCCATACTTTGTTTGAAATTTTGGAGCCAGACTTCACCTTTACTTTTGTCTTTGCTACCTCAGGGAAGTCATGAATGTAATTGAAAGCAATACTGGACAGTAATTATACTTTTTTTTTTTTTTTTTTTTTTTTTTTTAAAACTCAACGTCTGGATGCAAACTCTACCTTGCTCCTTTCTTCAAGCTCTGTCAAGTTCAAATTCTTGTTTATTTTAGAGAATAGCTTAGAGTCTGTTATTGATTTCAAATCTTAGGCTAAAAATGTGCTTTATTTTTTGAAGTACTTTCTGGTGATATCGTGTAAGATTCTCAGTTGTCACCTTGAAATGAAGAGAGCTGTATCATTTGGAGAGAACTGGTTCATAATTTTTAGATAATGTGTTTGCTTAAAATTATGAATTACTTGTATATTCAGGTATATACAGGTACTTTTTCTTTGTAGAACCTTTAAAGATAAAGCATGTATTTTTTTTTTCCTTTCTCCCACCTCCTCCCACCATTTGGGACATTTCAACACAATGGAATTAACTAAGTGAGGACAAGACCAGTACAGTAATTGCTTATTCTACACCTGTCAATATCAGAGAGTCAAAGAGTACCTTAAACAATCTATAGAGCTATGTTTCATTGACTACTGTGTGACTGAGCTTACTTTTTGTAATTAAGTTCATCTTTCATTCGCCCTTCTTAATTTTTTTTAAACTTCCTTTATAAACATTTTTAAGAGACACCAAAGCATAGCTTTGTGATTGCTACCATTTACCCCAGCACATTGTATTACTGATCCTTTGCTTTTGATGGCAATTACAGGGTTCAGAAGCTAATTTGTAGAAGATATTCTTCCAGCACCAGCTGCATCTGGCTTCTTGGCAGACTTCTCAAGCAGTTGTATTGGTGGCTTTGGACTTGCCTTTGGGTTTATTGGGGTAATGATATTGATGGGCTTTCTGGGCTGTCTGACATTCCTTGATGTCATTTTCTTTTTGGATACAGTTTTAGTCCAATTTGTCCGTTATTTCCATTCACGAATAAGGTCCAGTGCAAGCCCTTGTCAAAAGCCTCATCCCATTGATCATGGCAATACAGCATTTGCTTGTCTGTCATACACTGCTTTTCTACAAAATACTATTCCTCAATTTTAAAATTACAATTACTCATTAAACAGGTAATTAGTAATGTGTATTTTTATTTGTTGCAGAAGAAAAATATGAGGGCCATTTGCTGCTGGCCCCAAAACTCACTTTGTTTTGCATGCATATACATAAGTCTCCTCTTTGTGAATAGGACCAAAAGTGATTAAACAAGCACTCTTAATATGTTAATTTATAATTTTAATTACAACAATCTTGTATATATAGTCATTAGTGAATACTAATATAAATATTTTTCTACCTTTTTATTCATAATGCATAAACCAATCATCCAGTTAGTTCTCGACAGTTGCCTGTTTCTGTTTCATAATACAATCTTTGTTCTTAGTTATGAATGCATTTTGTTCGTTCCTGTCTTGAATAATCCCTCATTAAGCTAGTCACTTTCTGCTCCATGCTAAAAAGGAAAAATTATCATGCAAATGTGGCATGCCATATTAAAAAGCACATTACCAAACACTTTTGTTGCTGTCCTTCAATTAGTTTCCCTTCTTTGAATTTAATTTCATTTGTTGTTAAACTACTGACTTGATGTATGGACTCATGAATTTGAGGCTGCTGCCAAGAATGTAGCAGGGAAAAAAATCAAAGCCTCTTCAGAAAGCTGCAGAGGCAAAGCTGAAATGAATTTGCTTCACCTTTGACAAGAACACTTGAGCAGCATTGGAATCCTCTGATGATTCATCTTGGCTAATTATCCAATTATTTATTTCAAGAATAAAGACACTGTTTTACAATTAGAAAAGTGTAAAGTAATCTGAGAAATTTGGTAATGACAGATGACTTGAGCAACTTCCGAGATAAGCAGTATCTGCTCAAACTTATCTTGCCAAGTGTTCAAGCTATAGTTAAACTGCTCTTTGAGTTTCAAGAAAATAGTAGCCAGCCAAGTTATTTGTTTCTTCTCCCCTACCAAACACATATTATACTTCAGAAAATAGCTCAGTTTATTCTTTCCCTCTGTGCCACATTTGCAAGGTTTTTAAGATCTGTTTAAGTTGTATTCCTCTTGATTAAAAGCTTTTGGTTCAAAGCAATACTTTTTAATTGCCTAATGATATAAGTCAGTTCTTAGGAAAGAACCGTGCATTTAGGAGTTCATTTGCAATATAACTGAAAAATTCATTGCATGGCAGTAAAACAATTTACTGTTAATTACAAGGAGAAGAATTTGCTGTACCATGCTCACAGATTGCCATGAATCATGCAGCACTCCTAGAGATTTATAACAGATGTGTAAGTGGGATGAATTAGCAGGGTTTAATAACAGAGACACAAATCATGCAGACTTCAAGGAGCTTTAATTGATATACTAGAATGTGACGGGCATGAATCACTCAGCCATTCAACAGCACTGTAACATATGGTCAGCTCAATATGCTGCATCTTAAATCGGTTGGTGAGTCGTTGGTTGTCCCATATGGTGGAAGCAATATATTTTTCATGATTTTTTAAAAAATACTGTATCTTAAATCCATTTTTAAAGAAATATGATTGCAACATGTTCATTTTATTAAAATTTCCCTGGATGTCCGTTATGAGTCATTTTATTCCTTTATTGTGAGGAATTCCAAGATGGGCTTTAAAAATCTTCTGAAAAAATAAAAAGTTGTTAGAAGATGTAAGTGTTATTTCTTCACTCGGTAACTGTTGAAATGGCTGGTGCTATTGTGTAGTACAGAAAGCAAAAATAAAAACACTATGGCAGTCTTGTGGTCCTGAGAAGCCATAACTCATAGCAAAAATGACCCAGATGAGCATTAGGCTTTACATGTAATTCTATCTGCAAAGAAAATTCAAAGCTTTTTTTTCTTTAAATTTTTGCCATCAGGTTTGTTGAACGCTTACGTTTTAATTTGTATGTGTCCATTTTGAATTCAAACAACCAAAAATTCAAAACTCCTTACTTTGTTGTTATTACCTTTTTGAACTAACTGGCAAGGAATAAAAGCTTGCCCACTGTTAATGCAGAATGGCCAGTTGAAGACTTCTGTGGAAGAGTACACAGGTATCTATGTACAATATGCTAAGAAGTAGTTATTCAAACATATGTAAGCCTGTTAAATTTAGCCACAGTGTAAATATGTTATTCCTGGGGCGAGAATCTGGCAGAGTATAGAAAAGCTTTAGCAGTTGTATTAGTAAACCTGACAGACTTGAGAAAGGAGTATTGTATCCTTAGAACTGTGGCTGCCAGAATTTAATGTCAACAATTAAAATTTATTTTGATCCTTACCTAGTGTTTATTACTGTTTGTATACACAACAGACCTTACTAATACAGAGATGCACTATTAGATGGAATTACCATCTGTTCAGAGTGAAATGCTGGCATCTGTCTTCGAGTCTAAAACTAAAATGATATTATTTCAAACAAAACAAAATTAACTGCTCTTTACTTACCAACTTCATTTTTGTGTACATGTGTGTGCATATGCACTCAGGAAAGGCTTTTTTTTTGTCATGACCTGTGTAGCAACATCTATATTTAGATATATGACTTCAACATAAGCTATATGGACCATCTGTCTTTATTGGTCTTTTTTGTGCCCTCTGCTACACAATGGCATGCAGCAATCATGGGCTTTTAAATACTGTTTTAGCTTTATAATGTATTAAATATGTATTATATAGCAAGACATTAAAACTACATAATTAAAATACACAAAATGTGACTTTGAATCCACTAAAATCTAGTATGCTCATTATTTTGACAGATGTGTCTTAACAGAACGTGACTAAAAAAAAATTAAATAGGTAAAATTATAGTCAATTCATCTTTCTGAAAGTAGCTACAGGTACCACAGTGACACCTTTAGGAAAATGTATACTGTACCTTTTAGTTTTGAATATTTTTAATTTCAGCAGTTAGTACCCCACAGGGCTAGTGCTGCATGTTTCTCTTCAGTCCTTTTTGTTCTTGTGCAGAGTTTGGGTTCTTTTTTTTTTACGTGAACTTAAGTACATATCTGTTATGAACAGTTTCCCATTGTGTGGGTGAACAAAAATTCTCTAGTGTCAACGATGCTATAGTTTAAATACTAATGTTATAGCAAGATGTTACTTTCTGAAAGGGTTCTATTCCATATATCACAAAATAATAAATTGTGTCATGCCACTGTTTAATGCGTGTACACAGTGCATTAACTGTAACTGTAGTACATTTATTTGTGCTAGAAGAGACTTGAAAATGATTTAAAAATCAATACTTCCCTGTCAGAGAAGCAAGTGTTACGATGCATTTAAGTAGTTAATTGCATAAGCCCCATAAAAGCTTTGAGTTTGGGTATCAGCGATGCCATAATTATGGTCCAAGGCACTGCTTTTTATTAATAATAGACTTTAAAAAAAAGGTAGTGCTATTGTCATAAGTACTATCTGTGGGTGTTTTGCAAATAACGAGTTTCAGCATTTCCGTTCCACCAGCAGCAAGCTGAACCGGAGGGCTCAACCTCTGTGTTCACGTGTGAAATGCTGACGTACGCCGGTTCCCTCCAAAGGTGAAGTCGGGATTGTTGAGCCATGTTTCCTATTTAAACCTGGGCATTAGTACTGCAATTCATTAGCGCTGTGCCCTACTTACGCAGGAAAGCGGCTGACCTCACGCTGCATTACTCCAGTTTTGACATTGTAAATTCCGAACCTCGTGGGCGATACTAATTAGATGGTGAAGTCATAGACGGGGATGCCGAAGCAGGACCGCGCTGTGCGCGGTGTCGCTGGCGGCGCCCCAGGTCCCCGCTCCCTGCTTTCTCCATGACAAATACTTACCAAGGTGCGGGAGGAATAGGAAGGAAGGGAAAAAGTAGCAACATGCTACAGGCAAATGGGAAACATGACAAATATGTTAATGATCTGGTAAATGCATGGATATTTAAAAGGATGTTATTAATTCAATCTAGTTGAAGCAATCTCCATAAAGAACTCAGTAGTTTATAGAGTAATTTGCTGTGAAATAATGTCAGATATCTGAGAGGATCTTTTGTTGCTCTTTGCTACGTCATTACTGGAAAACGTAGTGGTACCCGACTGTCATTGTATTTCACTTCCTGCTTACAAATGAAGATTCTGTTGTTAAATCCCTTTCTTTGTAAGACAAAGAAATGAAAGGGAAAAAAAAAGGCAAGAGAAGATGGATATAGATTCTGTAAATCATGAAATGTTCTTGTGCTTCTTCTCTGGGTGTATTACTGTTTCAAAGCTGGTCCATTTCCTTCACATCTGCATGGCCAACACTTCATTATCTGAACAGGTCGTGCTGCCCTCCAGTGGCTTACTGTACAGTACTTATAAAATTAATGATTTTGTTCATAATTTGGCTATAGAATGACCAATCTGCTCAGAATGTTTAAAAGAATATCAGTATGAGTTTTAGTAATAGGAGGCTCACTGTGATTACATAAAACTTTCTTACTTCAGTGGAAATGGTAAATGCATTGATTTAGATGGAGAAAATTTAGAGAAGGTCACTTTCTTGAAGTGAACTGTTTATTAGCCAATGTTGTCCTCGTTTATATACGTTACATGGGATAAAAACTTAGCGGGCCGTCAGTATTATGCATGGATAGCTGCTTGCCCTTGTTGACTAGGATAAATTTATCTAACAGTAAGACCTGTGTTGTCATGTACATGTTGCTGAGATGTAACGAGTCACAGATTCTCCTCTGGTCTTGCACTAAAACCTAATACTGAAAATCATGGTGAATGGGAGGCTGATCAAGGAAGGGATAGAAATGTAGTTTTATGTTGAAGCTGACTGGGATTCTCAAAGATCATGAAAAATGTTCTTTTTTATATTGGAAGCAATATTAGAGACATTTGCCCAATATCTGAATAAACATACAAGATATTTCTACGGAGATAAAAGTAAATTTCATAAAGATTTTTTTTTTCTAAAAATAACCTAAAATAGGTTCTATTGACATCTACATTTATTATGGTGACCAGAAACTGAGGCAGGAAATTCTGGGAAAAAGAATGTAAAAATGTTTTGTGTAATGAATTATTTTCCAAGCATTGTAGACTGTGAGACATAGGCAACTTCTTTCTTTTTTTTTTTCTTGAACATACAGCTCCAAGAAAACTTAGTGCCCCTCGTCTTGAAGGAATAAACAGCACAGTGGTTAAGATATATTGGAATGAACCCGAAGAGCTTAATGGTCCCTCTCCCATCTACCAAGTGGAGAGGATGGATTCGTCTTTAGCTACATTGAATACAGAAGTAATGAAAGGAATCCGTTTCCCAGGAAATGGATATTACAGATTTGCTAGTTCCACTCTCCCTGCCAACACTTACTTTACAGGTAAATGAGTTTAAATGACTTATAAAATGTACCAATTGTACTCTGCATTTGTTTTACCATTTATTATCATCTTCTATCTCACTTTTAGGTAAGATCAGTGGTTTTTAATTTACAAGCATAATGTGATTGTTAGCGATGTATGGGCTATTTAGTTTATCGCATAGAAAGCTGTTGAGAACTTCATTGGACATGTGAGATTTGTATTCCCTTGGCTTTGGACATGGAGATGTTCGTGATTGTAAATGTTGCTGCATATTTCACTCATTCCCTTGTGATAAATTTAAGATGGTTTTATTTATTCCTCTGGGATTAAAACTTTTCAATGGATTTGCTGTAAATACTTGGGCCTCTCTTCTCTGATATGTTTTGGGTTTCCTGAGGTTATATGAGTGCTCTCTCTTCCCTGCTCAGAAGAGCAGTTGTGAGTCTGTCTGTCACTGCAGAGGAGGAGAGAAGGCTGCTAATACGGCAGAGCTCTGCTGTTTCTGGGTATTATTAGCTCTCTATTGACTCAGTATTTACTTTGGAACTGGCTGAAAATTTGAAAAGGAGTCAATAGCTGATGTTTTTTTGTCTGGGGTGCATATGTGTGTGCAGGGATAATTCTGGAAAGAATATTTGGACATGCTTGTTTTGGTACTTTTAAAAAACAGACAGACAGCGTAACCAGTATGGGAGTATGTGTAATGAGAGGGAAAAAAGCCTATTAGATCTATATGATCTCCCATTGAATATGCTTAGATAAATATTTGAAGATTCTTTTAAAAAAATATTTTGTTTAAAATTTTTATTCCTTAGTTGTCGACTTGACTCATAGTATTTGAATCAAATAATAATAGCAAATTATAATGTTTTAATTTAGTTCTTGACACCATGGTGATTTGCAAAAGCTGTCTGGGTGCATGAGTCTACAGGAACAGCTGCTGGACTTTCCTCATCCAAATTGCTTGATAGTTTTCCTGACATCAGTTTGCACCTTTTATTGTACGATTAGTAAATAATCTTTTTTTTTTTTTTTCCCTCTTCTGTTTTCTCTCTGCTATTATAATGATCTAAACATCAAGGGAAGTGTGAGGTGCAATTTTTCTTGCTGGAGTGCCAGGCAGCCCCTGTGGTATAGGTAAATAGTTTAATTAGGTAAATAGCTATGGGCAACTCTGAGATTCCTGCTTCATATCAGAAGTCTCTGAGAGTACTGGAGGAGAGGAAGAGGCACTACTCTAGATTGTTACCCTGTCTGTCTGTTTTTTAACCGAGAAGCTATGACATGAATCTCCCCAAGTGCTGATTCAGTCTATGGGCTTCTTGTATGCTGTAAAAAAACTGAAGCTGAAGCCTCAGTTTGTATAAGGTTTCTTGAGATTGCTGAGGGTTATTGGAGACATTTTGAACAGATGGGATGTGAGAAGATGCTGAAATAAAGCTCCTTTCATTTTAGCACCTGCTGGCTGATAATACGTGAGTAGATGTATTTTATTAGCACTTCTGATTAGAATATTTCTGTTAGATCAGCAATTAGTCTGAGTTTCTGGAGATGAGCTAGAACCACAGTGTAATAGGACCACAACTGCTGGTCATAACTGGCAAGTTGAATCAGTGTGTTTGGCATCTAGAAATGTATAATCTTGTATAATCCTGTGTTGACAACACAACACAATCTTAATAATCTTGTGTTGACAACACAATAGATTTATTTTTTTTAAAAAAAAACTTCTTACAAAACTTGTTGGGAAGAAACTGACTGAAAAGCAAGGAGAGTCTAAAAGAAAAAAAAAACACTTAAGGGAATGAAAAATGTTCTTTAATTGTTCTCTATACTTCATTTCTTTGTTGAGGACCCTGTCATTCTCCATCTCTGAAGAAGACAGGTAGTTGGCAATTGTAATGTATAGATGGAGTGACTTTAGTGTGAATGCAGTTGGGAACATTTTTGACAGCAAAGCCACCACTCTATATCCATAGAGTCAGGAAACAAATACATTTTGGCGCGTGTGGGATTACTCGCTGCTAATCCAGGAAAAAGATAGGTGTGTCTATTCATTGCATATAAATGAAGCTGTCCTTGCTACCTCCCTGGCTAGTCCTATGCTTTGAGGTGCGAGTAATAGGGGCAGATACATTATCTGGGAATTTTTCCAAATTTGTCTTCAAAAAAAAGTTAGGCAATAAACACTGGCTGTATATATGGATCCTTCTGTCTGAAACAAAGCCTCCAGCTGCCCAGGAAGATGTGCTTTAAGTCCACATTGAGTAGAGAGGAAGTCAGCTAAAGAAAAGGATTTTTTTTTTCTGCCAAATCCGCCCACATGGAATTACTCAGTTCTTCAAACTGTAAAGAAATAGTTTTTTTGTATCTATCATGTCATTTTACTGAAGATGCAGACTTTAATAACTTAAAAGGATAGCAATGAGTATTAAAAATAAAGACAGTGGCGTTATTTACATCCATCACAGCACCATGAAGCAAGATAGGCATTCTCATCTTACCTAAGAACCCATCTGCCTCCCCATCATTCTGAAGACTGAGGTATTCAGGTGTTTACCCTCACATTTCCCCTGAGACAGCAAAATGTTATGATTCTGATTTTATACATAGGTGAACAGTATGAGTCCCATATCCTAGTATACAGCTGAGAGCTCCAATCCATTGGTTTTAATTGAAGCCAGTTGCTTAACTGCCTTTCTGAATAAGGGCTTGTTGGAAGCAGTGTGGCTTACATACTGTTCTGTTTCAAGAACTCTGCTCTGAGACCTTTTAAATAACAAATAATAAAAAATAACAAAACAGCAATACAAGAGAAAAAAAATAAAAAAAGGAAACTTCACATTTAGCATTTAGAACCTGGCTAAGGAGAAGGGATTACATTTTCAAAGCATCTTGCTGGAGGAAATGGTGTTTGGGGCCTTGTTAGGCCTTTTTTCAAAAGGCTACTTCATAAGTCTATTTGTGCACACCCTCAAGTTCAAATTCTTACTGCAAAAATTTATATTTGATACTTTGTTAAAAGGCCTCAAGAAATACCTAGAAAATGTTACAAATTAGTTTTTTGTTTGATTTCCTTGCTTGCGCTTGTATGAAGATCTGTTGATCTGGAATCGGAGTGGTGCAGAAGTGTTCTTATTATTTAACTTTTTGGTTCTTTAGTTGTAAAGGGAAGTACTAATTTATTCAGGACATAGACAGGTAAGCTTGGAATTCATGGAACTTTAAAAAGCTGACTAAGTACCCTTTAAAACCAAATTTGACTTATATTTGATGATAGAGTCTATCATCAGACTCTTTTAGGTCCCCCCCAAAAAAGGATTCTTACATAGCACCCTTTTAGGACCTTCCACTTAACTGTTGAAGTGTGTGTGTCTGTGTGTGTGTGTATTAACAAATAGTTAGCAGATCTGTTTCTGAAAATAATTTTTGCTTAATTGTCTTTTGCTCCTTGTTGAGATGCATTGAGGTGCTTGAACGGACCAAAGAATAACTGGTGTATGCATTTTTAACTTGTTTAAATGGGCTATGCTTAGGATCAAGTTTGGTTCTAATTTGAGACGCTACTGTCTGTTCAGGCTTCATAGTTCAAAAACATATCCTGAAGGGAATCCCCTTCACATTTTCTTTTCATAAAGATTAATTTTTTTTATTTGAAAACATGATTCCCTGAGACATCACTCTTTCCACTATCTTGGTGGATACTCTGCCTTCACTTTACAGTGCCACTTTACTTTTTGCGTGGAACCCTATCAAAAAAAGCTTTGCAGTAATCTTTTCTACAGCAAGTGTACATGATAAAGCCCCTCAAAAAGCAAATAAAAGGAAGAACATTTAGTTTCCAAGTTTTATTGAACAGGTCACATACATCATGCCTGTGATATTTTAAAAACAATTGAATTAGCTACTACTGATTGAGTATTATTTCTCTTGGCTGCTACCTCTTTGAAAAGTCATTCATGTAATATTAATCAAAATGCAGTTCTGTTCTGAACAAGTCTTTGTGTTGAATCCAAGTTTTCTCACGTAAGATACTACACTTGAAGCTGGTCTTGCCCAGAGTATGAACTCTTTGCCAGCCTCTAAATGATGTAGATTCAGCACTGTAATAATCAGAAAATAACTCCATGAGGTAAGATGTCCAAATATAGAGCATTACAACTAGAGCTTTTTTACAATGACATTTTTAGTGTTATGCAGTAGTCTTAAAAATGTATATTTTGAAAAAGTGCTAGTGTTCTCCTTGCCAAATTCTGACTCAGAGATGCGTACACATTTCTCAGAAAGGAGAATTCTTTTCAGTAACAGCATTTCTTAAAGAGCTGGCCATGGGGCATTGAACAAGAGTTGTTCAGGTCTGTTGTAAGCAGAAGTGTTGACAATGATTGTGGTCATTCAGTGTTCAGCCTCCTCTTAGCTCTTCATCACAGTGAACTCTCCTTGCAATATTGTGTCTGGAGTAGCGTTTGTTCTGATCTTGAGGAATCACTTCATAGTTAGTGGAAGAAACAAATATTTCCATTAGTTTATGGAGTCAAATAAGCCTTTCCCAGTATCACAGGAGAGGTTTTTGGGACGAACTATGACTGCAAATCGAGAAAATGAATGTGATTGGAGATCTAGAAAGCACTATAAGGGTGCTTACTCTAAACACGAGAGAGTTTGGTCTTGCTTAGTGTTGAAAAAAATGAAGACTGAAAGGAGACAATATTCTTAAACTATATCAAAACCCCCATAGTTTTAGAGAGGATAATAAACTTTTTCTCATGTCTACTGTGAGTAAAAAAAGCAAAGGATGCTTAATGAGCTTAAAATAGGATGAGCAAGGGAGATTTAGGCTGTTTACAAGTATATTTTTCTAATATGACTTAGGCAGAGTTCAGGAATAGGTTATTATGTGAGGAAAAAAGTGAAATGTTTGACAGTGAAGATTTTAAAGAGCATCCATCAGAAATAAGCTAGCTAAAGTTGATTCTACATTGGGATAAGAGACATCTGAGAATGCTTACCAAAGCTCAGACTGGC